AATATTAATCCTAGTAATTTTCTTTCTAGTGTAAGGAACTACCATTTACTGAATGCTTAGTGTATGCTTAGTTCACAAAATAACATTGCAGAGAAGATATTGTTGCTATTATTCTCATTTTACAGATGAGAAAACTGAATCAGAATAAGACTAGGTAACTTGAACAAGGTCTAGAGCTTCAGTCATTACTTTCCTTATTAATTAATTGCCGGCTGGGCCATCACTTGATGTAACAGCAACATGACAGCTTACGGAGTGTAGGGATGCAGGGCCCAAGGTAGTCAAGATAGATGATTAGGCAGAATGTCAGGACCTGAATATCCTCCAGCCAAGTCCCTCTAAATCTGTGAGGAGCCTCACACGTGTCATGCTGCTGTGGTCTAGAATGACGTGCCTAGGTAACCTGGTGCATGGTGGGCTTTCCAAACTAAACTCTGCTCAGTCCAAGGGAGTGGTCTGGTGGACCACTGCCAGGGGAGTGGGAGGGAGACCTCCAAAATGGAGCTTTGCCTCTCTGCTTCTCTGCTTCACTTGTTCATACTTGTAGATAGCAGTAGAGATAGAACTGAGATAGGGACAGAATTAGAGATTGTGTGTGTGTGTGTGTGTGTGTGCGCGCGCACGCGCGTGAGAGAGAGAGAGAAAGAGAGACCACTAGTTATGAAAAGAATACTAATTTTGGAGTCCATTTGCTTAGGCTTGATATCCATAATATACTTACTATTAAGTGATTAAGTGACCTGGGCATGGTCTTTAGCTACCCTGAGCTTTCATTTCCTCACCTGACATACAGCAGGTAGTCAAAGGTTTTTGTTGAGCTAATAAGCCAATGAATGAATAAATAAATAATTTTATACTTTGGCAAAAATAACTTTGCAAGGTTAGGTTGAGGATTAATGCTGCTACAGCCTGGCACGTAGTAAGTGTTTTGCAGATAATAATAATAGTAATAATAATAACAACAACAACAACAACAACAACAACACTTGTCATTATTGATTCAGTGCTTTTATTTTGGATTGATCTAACAGGTGCCCATGTGGTACTTCTCTCTATGCTAGATGGAGATCCCTCATCAAAATTGAAAGCAAGTGTTATATGTTGCTGAATATTTGGAATGTGCCTAAGTCGTGAGGGCCATGCCTATTAGAAAGGGAAGACTCTGGGAACCTCAGAAGCTTCTTGGCCCTCCAGTCTTGAAGGTGTGGCTTGAGAAGTTGGGTGGCGAAAACAGTGGCAGCGTGTTGTCTGGGAGAAGTCTCGCCATTGTGCCAGATTTTCCAAAATCATACAGCAACTCAGTGAGCTCAGTTCTTACAGGCCAAGAAGTGTGCATGTTTGCTGTCACTGGTGTTCTTGGGGCTTGAATTCCACTACCAGTCACATCCAAGTCTACGGCACATTCATTCTCTGGGTAAGAACAAATTAGGAACCTACAGCCCACTCTTCTTGAAAGAGAAAGATGTGGGGTGGGGAAGTGTGCTGGGCTTTTGATCTGAAAATTGATGTCTTTACCTAAATCATTTCCAGTTAAATACCATTGTCTTGTGTATCACATTCATCTGCTGTAGACTGTAAATTCTCCAGGGTAAGACATTGTCTTTTCATAGATTGTGTAAAATGGTGCAGACACTTTCAGCACTTGTGGTATAACAGATGGTTATCATTTATAACAAAAGAATAAGAACAATGGCAGCCTACTCATGTCCTAGAAGCTTGGTGTGCAAAAGGAACCCCATTACATATTTATATTTATATTTATATATTTATATTTATATATTTATATAAGTCATAATCCCGTAACAACATAGTGTAAAGGTATGCATGTTTCTCACTGGGAAAACCTGATAACTCATTCTTCAAAGTCTAGAAAACAGACTAGTGAGAGTTAATTCTAATTACGTAAAGATTCTTTGCTTTACAAGACAGTTTTTCTAAAGAGTCTCTTTAAATAGCCACATCTCTTTTTGGAGTATTCAAAATTGGATTTGCCTTACAAAATGTTGATTAAACTCAACTTTTCAGGAGCAAAGAGATTGTACAAAAATGGGGCATTGCATGTCGAGTGTTATTGGTGAAGTCTCACTTAGTGATCACAAGCCTCACCATTCCATCCACTGAGCCCATCAAAGTCAGAATGTCCAAATATGGCAGGTGGCTTCTACAGGGCGTTGGGTGCCCTCATTCTAGGTAGGAAAGCTAAGCCAGCATTGGGGTCATTGACCATCATTAACCGTGTGAGTCTGGCAGCCGAGGGCATTAATCTGTGCTCTGAAACGATCTTGCATTATTCAGCATGTACTGACATTAGCTTAAATAGGGATGCTTTTTTTTTTATTGAGACAATTATGAAGAAAAATCTGATTGCTCTTATTCAAATAGATGAAAACAAAATTTTGAGGAGTGATGATGCATTTCTTACTTCATATGTAATAAGTCATGAGCAGGGAGAGGAAAAAGAGAAATTGGAATCGGACCAGATAGGATCACAAGGGTCCAAAGGGACCCCCCAGATTGCAGACAGACAGACTTTTACTCCCTGTGTCACACCCTCTTTTTTTAATAAAACCCTCTACTTGTAAGCAGATAGGGAGGTGTCAGTCATTCCTACTATCTCCCAATTCAGATGCATATCAGAAAAAAGCACTATTTACTGCACCACTCCATTTTGCAAGTATTGTACAGGCACTACATTAGACTCAAAGATGGGAAGAAAAGACAGGGAGGGAAGAAGGAAATGCACATTTAATAAGACAAGTGAATGATTCCAGAGATCACACAGTGTCTTTATGTGCTATTCCAAGCTGGTTTCTCTAATAGAACAATGAGAATACTTCATTTTAAAGTTGCCTACTGTAACCAGATGCTCTATTCATGTGTTTCCAAGGGTCCTAAAGCAAGAGTTGATTCATCTCTGCCTAGCTGTAGGCAGGCTGATGAGACTCTTTCAGGAAGTTCTATCCATTGTGCTGAAAGGCTATTGTTAACACTATAGCAAAGTAAGGGCTACACTCAGAATTTTCATAGGACAGTTTATTTCTGTACTCTGAGTTATTTTCGCCTTCCTGCCTTGTAAGCCTTGCATGTGCTTTGTGTGCTCACAAGTGTCTGGATTTCAAAAGAGCGTGTTTAATATACAGAGTGGGTCTTGGGCCTGGAGATGAGTGAGGTGGAGTGAGAGGTTAAGTTGAAGACTCTGGTGGAGAGGAAAACAGTTAATTCACATTGTTTGGTGTTAAATACATGTTTGGGTTTGTATTTCATGTTTTGCCACACGTTCAGAAATGCCCGTCTCCTTTCTCATATTCACGCTCTTTCTGTTCAGAACTAGGCCAGCATAGACAGGCTTGCAGAGGAGAGCAATCCTCATCAGCCGAGGGAGAGAAAAAAACAAAACAAAACTGAATGTGTACCCCGAGGGGAGATGGCTCTCTAGAGTGTAAAAATGTGTTCCTGGGACCATTTGGAAAAGGGCTGAGGGTGAGGAATCGGGCAGCCAGAGAGCTGAAGCTCCCTCCCTTGCCAGGCATAGGAGTGCAGAAGGTGGGTTGCTCACGGCGCGGTGGTGGGGGTCACTCCTCCTCATGCCTAGCCTCTGGCAGGGGAAGGACTGGGAACTGGGAATGTGTGTGGCAGAGGCTCACTCTGCCAGGACGAGATGTTGGGGTATGAGGGTGGGGTGGGGGCCTGAGGGGTGGCTTGGAGCCCTGGCTGTGGCTGCCTGACGTCACCGGCCTCTCTGGCAATAGGCTGCGAGCTGAGCTCCCCGAAGCGGCGGCGGCAGCAGCAGCGAGGCTTGGTCTCTGGCCCCTTCACTCCGCGCCTTCTGCAGCCGCCACTGCAGCCGCGCGGCGGGGGCTCCCTCCCTGCAGCCAGCTGGTGGCCCCAGGTAAGGGACGCGGTGCCGCTAAAGGTTCCAGGCTGCTGGGTGGCGGGGCGCGAGTGGGTCGGACAGCCCGGCGGCCTGCGCAGGCACCCCTGGCGGTAGCTTCGGCCCCCGCCCTGCCCAGCCCCGGCTTGCGCGCCTCCTCTGTGCTCCGCAGTGCAACAGTTTGCAGCTCCCTCGCGAGAACGGCCAGGGGGCTCTGCTATGCTCTGCGGGTCTGCCTAGCTCTGGTCCCCGGGAAGAGCCTCGGGCTGGGGCTGGGGAGGCTGGAGGGCAGGTCTGTTCCCCAAACTTTGCAGACGAGGACCTATACCCTTCCATTTCCTGTCCCCCTAGAAAGAAGCAGGATCCTGCCGAGTGCGGGGCACAGGGAGATGGCGAGAAGGGGGCGTTTGCGGGGATGTGCTTTAGCTGGAAAAGGTGTTTCAGCTGCTTTTTTTTTTTTCCCCCCTCTGGTTGGGGTTGGGGGGAGTACCAGGGAAGAAGGCTGGAGAATGGATGGAGCGCGATCCGGCGCGTCCGCTGTGGCCACGGACAGAGGCGGAGTGGGATGTGGCTGTTGTGGTACCCCCATGGGAATGGGACTTAAGGGACCTGAAGCCGGCCAGGGAAGAAGAGTCTGGAGGGGGAGGGAAGAGAAGGCAGTACTGCGTCCCCGGAGCCCGCTCGCTCGGCGGTTGGGGGTGGGTGCTGGGAAGGGTAGGATCCATAGGAAGACATCCACTCGGAGGGCGAAGGAAGGAGGAGAGTCGGTGCTCTGGGGAGAGGGGACCACGTTCCCAGGCGGCTGTGTGTCTGTTGCAATTAGAAAGTTGTGGAGGGCCCGGGAAGGCTGCCTTATCTGCTGAGTAATCTGTATCTCCGCGGGGCTGGCGCGGACCCCTTGCCAGCGAGTGGCGCGAGCCCGAAAGCTGGCGGCGCGGGTGCGCGGCCAGGGGCGGGCGGGCTGGGGTCCACGGGCTGCGGAGCAGACGGGCAGCGCCCAGCTGAGGCAGTGTGCCCAGAGGGCTGCTTTGCAGCGGCGGCTGATCCTTCCGGTCCTCCGCACTCCCCTGGGCAGCGGCCGGGATCCTAACTAAGCCTGTTCTCTTTGCAGCCTGGTGCCTTGGGAGAGGAAAAGGGCGCGCGGACACGCGTTCCAGGCGGGGCCGGAGAGGATCTCCTGGGCACCGCTCGCTTCCTGGCCGGCTTGCTTGCCCGCAGTTGCTCCCTCAGTCCTTCGCTCGCGCGCGCATCCCCTCCCACACCAGGGAGTAGTTTTGGGTGGCGTGGGCTCCGTCCTCTTCTTGCCTGGTGGGAACGGTGTGCCCGAGAGAGGAAGTCTGGTGGGCCCGGCCCCTCCCAGCCCAGCGCCGATGAGTGCCAGGGCGCCCAAGGAGCTGAGGCTGGCGCTGCCGCCGTGTCTCCTCAACCGGACCTTTGCTTCCCCCAACGCCAGCGGCAGCGGCCACGCGAGTGCCCGTGGCCCGGGTGCGGGAGGCAGCGGCGGCGGCACCTGCATCACGCAGGTGGGACAGCAGCTCTTCCAGTCCTTCTCCTCCACGCTGGTGCTGATTGTCCTGGTCACCCTTATCTTCTGCCTCATCGTGCTGTCCCTCTCCACCTTCCACATCCACAAGCGCAGGATGAAGAAGCGGAAGATGCAGAGGGCGCAGGAGGAATATGAGCGGGATCACTGCAGCAGCAACCTCGGCGGCAGGGGGCTGCCCCCGGCGGGCGGCCAGGCCCCAACCCACGCGAAAGAAACCCGGCTGGAGAGGCAGCCCCGGGACTTCGCCTTCTGCGCCCCCTCCGACGCCTCCTCGTCGTCTTCGTGCCCCGGCCGCCCGCGCCAGGGTCCCTGCGCTCCCCCGCCTCCCCCGCCGGCCCCCAGTCCTCAGGGAGCCCACGAAACCTCCTGTTTGGACACAGCTGGCGAGGGCCTTTTGCAAACGGTGGTACTCTCCTGATTGTTTAGCCCCCTCTGCTCTCCCCTTCCTCATTTCCAGCGTCTTTGCCGTCCTTGCTTTTTCTCTCCCTCCATCTTTCCTCTGCCAGTTTTCTCTGGCTTCCCTCCCTTTTTCCTTCTTTCCGTATCTGCCCTCCCCTTACTGTCTCTCCTCCGCCGAGGCACTGTGCGGTATTTGTAAATATTGGGCGAGGAAAGTCTCGGAAGAAGAAATAACGCTGATAATACTTTATTATTAATATTTATAGTAATTATTATAATACTAATAACACAATCCAAGCGCATGACAAATCACATAATTTCTCATTGTCAATGAAGGACGCGTCTTCCCTCTTCACCCTGCACACCCCTCCCCCCCAATAAGGAGGAGAAACCGCACAAGCTACCAGATATAAAAAAGGCGTTGATTCCTGGACCAAAGGGAGTGGAGGGGGCCTGGTGTGTTGTACATAGCTGTCAAGTTAAGGTTCAGTTCCCTTCCCTTCCTTCCCCCCCCCCACCCAAGCTTTCACTTTTCCTTCAGCTCCCCTCCCTTCCCCATTCCCACCTCCGCAGGGCTCAGGCAATACTATATTATAAAGAAAACGTCTACATTAAGCACCAGAACTACAAGAGGCCGCAAAGACGGTCCCAGAAAAACGTGTATGACATGTACCGATCTCTGGTCAGCCCTCTTTCTCACCCCTTCGTCAACCATTCCCTTTTCCAGGACCAGGCATTTAAATTTACTTTTAGAAACGTCCCTCGCTGGTCGAAAATCTTTAAATGAGTTGAAAGAAAAGAAAAGAAAGAGACAGAAAAAAAGAGAAAGAAAGAAAGAAAAAAAAAAAGAAAGAAAGAAACTCTACTGCTTTAGCTCTCTGCCCCACACCCCAGATATACACCTTTGACTTGGGGCATTTTAGGATTCACAGAAGATCCAGAAGCTGTCCAGCCGGGTGTGGTGCTGACATTGCTTCACCGGACTGGTTACTTTGTTTGGTTGTGCAGGCAGAGGAGGGGCTGTTTGGGGAAGTGACTGTTTTAGCTTTTTGTTGGTTTCTTTCTTCTTTTTCTACAATCGGGTTTGTGTGTACTATTGGTTTTATTATTAAACATTGCATAAGTTACCTTTTTTTGTAAAAAAAAAAAAATACTAGGTGATGTGCAGTACTGAAAGTGCAGTATCTAACCAACCAAAATGTTTCTGTTTCATTTTTAGAACAAGTGCACCTTTGTTATATATTTATTATATTGGTACCAAATACAGAAGCAAACTATAGTTCTGTACTACATCCTCCAAACTGTATAGTCTTGTTCTTAATTTCCAGCTGTTGATATAATGGTTACCGCTGGATGAGCAATTCAGTGGTGCAGGCCTGGCTTCTGCTGTTTCCAGAAGTGTTCTTTTGTACCTTATTCTGTAGTAGACTGTTATAAAAAGATAACACATATGTTTTCTTTTTTCTTTTGCGAATAACAGAAACAACCACAACAGAAAACAAACGAATAATGGATGTGCAGGAATGCCATCTATTAAAACATGGTTAATATTTAAACAGTGCCTGTAGTCCTGCCTGCATGCAGTTACCACCTGGAGGCAGTGGTGTGTGTGCTTGCTTGTACTGTATGTGTTTGGGGGGTGAGACTGGTGGGGATATTGGGCAATTTGGATGACAGGACATGCAAATTTCAAGAGAAGTTAAACCCAGTAACTACTTGTAGGATAACAGTATTTGAAGCTTGTTCAGTTAAAAAATTTGTGCCTGCATCTGAGATGCAGTGAAGGAAGGGCTCTTTTTCTCTTTCTCAGTCTGGCTCACCTACGTTCGCTGGATACACCAAAAAAGATGGAGAGAAAAACAAAGTGAGAGAGAAGAAGATCGATATTTTTATTCTCTCTCCTGATGCCAGACAAGGCCATCTATGTTAGAAATGCAGTCCACCTGTGGTTATTTACCACTTTGTTTCCCTTGGATTGATGATAAGAAGGGGCCAGAAGGGTATTACAATCTTAATTATATTCAGTGGCATCCTTTCTTGGGAACCAATTCTTTGACAGCTATCTAAATATTTGGATAATGTATGAATGAGAATGTTCTACCAAAAGCCCAACTAAAAGAGTTCTTATTAACCTGCAGGGTGTAAGGCAACAGTGCCCCTAAGTGCATCCCTCTTCCAAATAGCTAGTAATTCTAGCTTCTCTGTCTTGGTTCCAGGCTTCTGTGCTCTTATCTAGAGAAGAATATTACCTCTGAGGTTTTAGGTCATCTGTTAAATTGCCCAAGCTCAGTCTGCATCTTTTATACAAATAATTTAATAAGCTTAATTTTAATCACCCATTAGATATTCACTCAAGTCCTTTCCTGAAGCACAGAGGATCATCATTTAAGCATGCCCTGTTGTAATATTAGGAAGACCAGGTATAATCTTTGGGTTCAGTGTATTAATCAAGAAACCAGATTCTCTCCAGTGCCTTAGTCACTTCCTAGTAATAGGTAAAAGAGTGCATTAACTCCCTCGGGCCACTAGGGAGCCCTTTAGTGCATCAGGCTCTACATTGTACATCAGAATGACTAAGGCACTGTGAAGAAGAAAGTCCATTAATTTTTGTAGCTCACCCCCACTTAGCTGTAGCTGTTTAAGACCTTATTACAGAATGACTTTTGGACTTGAAATTTGAATAGAATCAGGGACTCAGAAGGGAGCTTCCTCATTTCCAATAAGCTCCACTAAGTGCGTGGATATTACTTTCTCCCCCTTGTTTGGTGCACTTCTTACAGTGAATAATTTCCCATTTTATTAAAGCAATAAGATGTTCTGTTGTGAGCAGTGCTGGATGATGATTCCATTTCCTTGGTGCTGAAGCTACTCATACGTTTTTGCCTTATGAATCACAGTGCATTCAAGGCATGCAATAATAATCCCCTTCTAAGGAGCAGCCTGTACACTCTAGGGGGTAATTATGAAATTGTCCTATATAATTTTTCCCCAAAGGAATAGGAAACAGGAGAAATGAAAGCATTATGTATACTGTTTAAAAAACATCTTTATACCTCTAAACATGGGCACGCATCCATAATATTCTCTTATTGTGCACCTTTAAATATGTATGCCTTTCTCCATTAACTGACTGTGGTTTAATATTTTTAATAGTGCTCTTTGTAAAGATGATATGGTTTGTGAGTCAAATTTCTTGCTGAGTTTAATATACTCAGAATTCTAAGCTTCTGGTGGTGTCACTTGAGATTTTTTATGAGATAGTGAATTACATGAAATTCTAGTAACACCAGTCCCCACACCAAATTATTGCAATAAGCAAATATCCAAGCAATTTGCACAGACCCTGTTTAGAGCACTGCATCTTATTGAGCTCAATTGACAGTCTCAGGAGTTTGGGATGCTACCAACAGGGCATTTTGGATTTCATTTATATGAAACAAAAGGCAATCTGGAAATAGCTGAATTTATTTTAAGGATTTTATTCACTGATGTCCCGTCAAATGAATTGCTTCAAATCCCTATAGCTACAGTTCAACTTCTGCACTTGCTATTCAATATTAATAAGGTGGCATGCTTGATTCTTACTGTTTTTAAAAAATGAGAAAATTGGAGCGAGAATACCATTATGTCAACTGTATGGGACTCTGAATCTTAAAGATGTAGATGAATATAATCTTCTTTAGAATTTATATACACCCATAGATATGTATTTATATATGCATACCTTTTGTACAAATTTACAATGGACTTTTTGTATTCTCTTTTCTGTCATTATAAGAATGAGATGGAAACCAAATCGTTGTTCCATCCTCTTATCCAGAGAGGATACTGAGAAGCCAGGTATATGCATGTACTTATTTCTCTGGGGTTAAATCCGAATGACTTTCTCTTTATTTAATGAAAGGGGAGAGTCTTGTTTGGCTCGGGGAATTGGTAATTAGATAAGCTTCCTTTCCTAGTTAGTGACTCAAATGTAGCAATGATAATGAACTTGTGACCATACCTGTGCGGTCTAAATATCTAGATGGAAAGCAAAAATATCTAGAAGAGCTTTAGGGCTATCTAGACCACAAACTTGGATTGTGGCTTGATTTTTTTTTTTTTTTTATTTTCAGCCTATATGTTGTGTGGAGATACAACTTCTATCTGCATAGCTAAAGGTAAAGTGAGAATTTGACCCTTATCTGTTTAGTTTGGTATGTAATTTTTGGAAAATATGGATAAATTAGCTTTAAAAAAAACTTTGGCGTCTGACTTCTCCACTATTTCTATCTATATCGATTGAATTAATTAGATAATGGTTAAAATCCCATTTTTTTTCCATTGTGTAGACATATGCTTTAAATGCTTTTCTGTGGGTGACAGTTGAGCAATTGCTAGCTGATATTACGTGGAATTTATAGGTTAAATTAGAACCAGGAACTTTAATCTGGTCAGACTCCTCAGGTCCAGTTCCCTGTGAATCTGGACTTTGAATCTGAATTTGGAAAACCACTTCTCTGAGCCATCCTTTTTTGGAATTAGTGATTGTGGCTCATAGATGTTTTAGTTCACATTTGAATGAACTGAGCTATCTATGGAGGGGTTGAATTGAACATCAATCTGATTCTGATTTGGTTTCTGATTTACTTGATAACATTTGAGACAGTTTTGATGACTTGACATCAATACTTATTAATGTCACCAACCTAGTGATACAGTTGTTGCCATGTAAGAATGCTTAGCTAAGAATAAGAATTTAATTAACTTTAGTTGAGGACAATGTCTTATCAAGGTAGTTCTACCTGTTTGAAGCAGGGACACTTGTGATTTCGTTGGGTTGCCACCATAGGGAGATTAACAACAAGAAGAATGACAAGAGCAACAGAAAAAAATGATTTTTGAACTCAAATATATGCGACAGAATGAAACAGATATTAGAATTCATGAAAAATTTGTTTTGGTTTTCTATCAATAAAAGAGTTTTCTTGTTAATTGGCTTTTTGGACACTATTTCCTTATTGATTTAGAATATAGTAAGATTATAAAATTATTCATTCTATTGCCCTCAGATGCTCAAAGAAATTAGTTTTTATTTTTAATTATTACTCATCAGAACTTCTTCACAAACCAACTGCATCCAAAAATGGGAACTTATAAACTTTATAAATTTATAAACTTATAGTATCACCCAATAAACTGAGTCCACTCCATTAATTTAGCAGTCCTTTTAGGCAGATGCTCAGGGTCTCTAGGTCATATACTTAGTCGTTCAGATTTCCTCTTTTCCTGCCTTCTCGAATATAATCAGGTATGTGGAGAAAGGATATGGTTGACATGATTTTGTGGCGATGAGGGAAATGGGAAGCCTCACATTCATATACATTCTTTGGGTCCTAGCTGAACTCCGCTGGAAAGCAGTTGATTAGGACGGCTCTCCAGTCTAAGATGCTATTGTCCTTTCTAGATTTTGTGCCGACTTTTGCCACTGCAGTCTTAGACCCTGGACCTTTTTCCCTGAGTCTCAAGTCATCTTCCACAGGAGTCTGTATATCCTGCACCCTGCCATCCCTAGGTCCAGCAGGACTCTCACACTTTGTCCTCTTGTAGATATAGGAACTTCTGGGTATCCTGCATGCCATTGACCTACTATTTTTTTTTAAAGATTTTTTATTTTTTATTAGAGAGAGAGAGCACAAGCAGGCAGAGCAGCAGGCAGGAGGGAGAGGGAGAAACAAGCTCCCCGCTCAGCAGGGAGCCCGATGTGGGGCTTGATCCCAAGACCCCAAGATCATGACCTGAGCCGAAGGCAGCCGCTTAACCGACTGCGCCACCCAGGCACCCCCCATTGACCTACTGTTGAGAGGCATGGCACCATGCGCCCTTGCCACCCCGCTTCAGCTAGTCCTGCTCCGTGTCAGATGGTGCCATGAATTAGGTCTTCCTGCTCCACTCTGATACATTCCAGGGGGTGGGGTTGCCAGTAAACCCTAATCCCTGGGCTTCTCCAAAGCTATTTACATGTTTATGAAGCACCACCCCGTCTTTTTGTGTGTGGAGAAGAGAAGCATGAAAGCCTTAACAGCTGCCTGTCTCCCTCTTCTATCTCATTTTTTTCTCAGAATTGCTCCAAACTGCAAGAAGCAGATTTTCCTCTCAATGCCCCCTTTTATCTACTGGAGATTTTCTACCATAGGTGGCATCCCATCTCTGCAGTGGGCTTTGTCTCTTTCCCGACTTCAGCCTTATGACTAGCCTTTAATGGCAGTTAGGGTATAGGAGACAGAGAGAGAAGCTTATTGATAAGGAATCCTAAATTGGGAGATATTTAAAACATATAATCCTACCATACTAAACCTTTGTATTCCTGAAAGGACTTTAACTCATAATTAAGGTCCTACTCTCCCACTTTCCTAGAAGGTGAGAGCTTGATTTTTATACTACATTTATTTCTTTGTGAACTTCTACCCAATCCCTCCACCTTTGGCTAGAAAATCTGGGTATGGATTGCATCTTTTACCCTGTATTACTATTTGGTCTCCAAGAAGGCATAGCCTCTTTCCAATACTGGTTCATT